TTAGATGTAAAATTGATACCTCCGGTCAGAATCCACACAGTCGAGCATGAATGCTGGAACGACAAGGAGCCTGCTTACGACTTTGAAGTAGCAGGGGAAGTAACGAAACTACTTAGGGCAAAGATGATCTCCTTTGTGGCAGAACCCAAAGTGTCACCATATGCGAATAGATGGTTTGTGTTTCGGAAACCTAACAAGTCGCTTAGGTGGATCCAAGATCTGCAGAAACTAAATGATGTCACCATCCGGGACGTGGGGTCACTACCTCAAGCAGATTTGTTGCCAGAATCCCACGTCGGACGAAGTATTTACTCGCTGGTACGATCAGCTCCCGCTGGACGCCCGGGATAGACCCTACACGGCTATGCATACCCCGGTGGGGCAGCTGCAAATGCAAGTGACTCCTATGGGATTCACCAATGCTGTGGCAGAAGCGCAACGAAGAATACTCGCAATTGCGGGAGACACGTTCCCCGCAAAATGCGAACCGTATATTGACGACAATCCAATCAAAGGTACACGAGATAAGGACGAGACGAAAGTCCAGCCAGGAATACAGAGGTTTGTGTGAGACCACCCGCAGGATATCAAAGAGTTTCTCCAAAGGTTCCTGGAATACAACATCACTGTCAGCGGTCCTAAGAGCATCCTGGCAGTGTCGGAAGTGACCATCCCAGGATCTCGTTGCGGGGCATATGGAAGAAAACCCGGCCCCGCCAAGACCGACAAAATCGCTCAATGACCGACACCCTTGCGAACCACGACGGAGGTAAGGGCTTTCCTTGGGGTCGTGGGGTTCTGGAGAATCTTCATCAAAGGGTTCGGAAAGATAGCAGAACCCATGCATACCATGATCTACGAAGAGGGCTCGCTTGATTAAACTGAGGAAAGAGAAGCTGCAGTTCATACCTTGAAAGACATCTTGACGTTTGAACAAGTCACCCTTGCCGCCCCGTGTTTTAACGATGAGATGGGGCATCCGTTTGTGCTTGAGACCGATTGGGGACCATTATCGTGAGAGGAGTTTTGATCCAAAGAGGGGAAGACGGAAGGGAACGGCCAATCAGATTCAAGAGTAGGACGCTGAACTCAGCCGAGCATCACTACTCCCAATTCAAGAGAGAAGTGTTGGTTGTTCTCCACTGCCTTAAGACCTTTCAAGCCTACCTCTTTGGGAGGAGGTTCATCTTGAGAATAGATCCGACAAAGGTCGCAGGGGTTCTAAAGAATTACAAACGTATAAACCCCACCGTGGGGAGATGGGTGGGGTTCATTTGGCAGTTCGACTACAAGATAGTGCGCATAGTCGGTCTTAGGAATAGGGCCAACGACTTGAGCAGGGTGTGCATAATACCGGAAGGAGTAGAGGACGCAGAGCCGATCGATGTGTTTCTCGACTACGAAGGTGAGACCCTTGTGGTAGATAATGAGATGATAGAGCCTGCCTGCAAATCCGGGGAGTTGTTGATCAAGGCATTGGAGAAAGGACCTCCGATAGTTGTGGAGGAACTCAGGGAAGGAGCACTTATAAGGTCCGGTCGAAAGGAAGAAAAAAACTCGTGGGGTGATGCAGTGGGGTCTCACGAAGAACTAATGGCAATGACCGTGGAATGGGGGCAAGAGGCGGTCATGAGTTTGGTTGAGTATTGGGAACAGAAGCGGCAACAATACCTAGTAAACCAAGTACAAGGCACACAGGAGGATCGTCGGGATCACAACGAGTTTTTCCTTATTCAGTCATACGATGGGATCTTCAAGGAAATTTGACTGTTGCTAGTTGGAGACAAGGAGGCTCAGGAGATCAGTCTCAAGGCCAGAGAGGAAGCAGATAAGTATGTAGTAAGAAACAGATATATGTTCAGCTGTGTAACCTGTTGAACGCGTTGAACGCGCGTGCACGTTCAAACGTGCGCGTTCATACCCCCCGGGGCCGCGTTCAATCGCGTTCAAACGCGCTGCGCACCACGTGGCGCGAAAAAAATGAACGCGACACCGGGGGGCGCGCGCGCACGTTGCTGACTACGGGGTGGAGGACCTAGTTCAAGAAACCACGAAAGTGCAAAAAACACCCCCCAGGAGGCCCACCACCCCGTAGGGAGCAGCGACGTTGCTTTGGGGGGGCTGTGGGCCAATGCCCCACACAAAACGGAAAAAAAAAAAAAAAAAAAAAAAGTGTGTGAATGTGTCTGTGTGTGTGTGAATGCTCTTTGTTTTTTTTTCCAAGGGGGGGGGTGGGGGAATCCCCCAACCACGGCTCAGACAGCCCATGCAAGCTTTCTGAAGGGTCCTCACAGCCATCTGGCAAAGACCCCCCACCAAAATCAAGGCAGGCAGTGAATATGCACGAGAGCAGGAGCTGGCCGAATATATACTCAACATTCAAGTCTCTCTCTCTCTCTCTGCAGTTATGGGTTGGTCACGTAGCTAGGCCCGTGATTCTCAAGGCTTGGCTGCACTACTCACCAAATGTGCAAAACTAGAATGAATCTTCTGCAGAACGTGGAATAATACGCCGTCATATGTCTTTTCTTTTATTTTTCTTATTTTTTTTCTCGTTTATCTTTTTTATCGTTTTTCTTTTTTTCTCGTTTTTCTTTTCTTAGGAATACGTGCAGTGGCTCCAAAAGAAAACAAAAGAAAAGAAGAATGAGAAAAAAAAAACAAAACATATGGTGGCGTATTATTCCACGTTCTGCAGAAGATTCATTCTAGTTGTGCACATTTGGTGAATAGTGCAGCCAAACCCTGAGAATCAGGGGCCTAGCTACATGAGCAACCCATAACTGCAGAAACACAGTCGTGAATCCGAATGTTGAGTATATATTCGGCCAGCCCTGCTCTCGTGCATATTCACTGCTTGCCTTGACTTTGGTGGGGGGGGGTCTGCACCACATGGCTGCGAGGACCCTTCAGAAAGCCTGCATGGGCTGTCTGAGCCGTGGTTAGGGGATTCCCCCAACCCCCCCCCTTTGGAAAAAAAAAAAGAGCATTCACACACACACACAGACACATTCACACACTTTTTTTTGCTTTTTTTTTTTCTCGTTTTTTGTGGAGCATTGGCCCACAGCCTCCCCCAAGCAGCGGGGTGGTGGGCCTCCTCGGGGGTGTTTTTTGCCCCCTTCAGAAAGCCTGTGTGGGCTGTCTGCACACGCACACAGACACATTCACACACTTTTTTTTGCTTTTTTTTTTTCTCGTTTTTTGTGGAGCATTGGCCCACAGCCTCCCCCAAGCAGCGGGGTGGTGGGCCTCCTCGGGGGTGTTTTTTGCCCCCTTCAGAAAGCCTGTGTGGGCTGTCTGCACACGCACACAGACACATTCACACACTTTTTTTTTTTTTTCTCTCGTTTTGTGTAGGGCATTGGCCCACAGCCCCCCCCCAAGCAGCGCCGCTGCTCCCCACACCGCCCACAACCCCCCCAAGCGCCGTCGCCGCTCCCCACAATGCCGAAAGGGCCCTCCCACCCCGCACAGCCCCCTGCGCAAACGCGTCAATCGCATTCAGGCGCTTTCAAGCAACGCGCATTCAGACGCGTGCAGTGAACGCGCGTTCACTGCGTTCATAAACTGAACGAGGAACGCGCGTTCAATGAATGCGCGGTAACATAGATGTTCAGGAGAGAGGAAGACCTAATGCCTAGAAGGGTGGTATATGGTCGATCGAGGCAAGTAAACATAATTCAGACAATGCATGAAGGATTGGCAGGGGGACATCGCTTCTCAAGAACGACCCTGACAAAAACAGTGTCACTTTACTTTTGGCTTGGAATGGGGAGCATGCTCGCCACGTATTGCCAAACCTGCTTGATCTGTCAAAAACGAAGTACGACCCGAGTCCTTGAGCCTTTGAGACCAACGTGAGTGCTAGGACCAGGACATTTGATCCACCTCGATTTCGTTATTATGTCGGTATCTGCAAAAGGGTACCGGTACAGACTTGACACCAGAGATAATCTCAGTGGGTTTGTGGAGGCAATGACTCTTAAGAAGAAAACGAGACTGACAGTAGCTGAATGGATCGAGGACTTCTACCTGAGGCACCCATTTTTTGGAAGGTTTATAGCCAATAATGAGACCGAATTCGTGAACCAGGACGTGTTAAGTTCATGCAAAATACTTGGGGTGCCCATCAAGTTAATTGAGTCGTACCACCCGGAAGCTAACGCACCCGTGGATAGAAGGCACCGGACGCTTAAAAACACGATCGCGAAGTTAGCAGTTAAGGACCTTGGGAATTGGCCTAAGTACCTTAAGCAAGTAGTGTTCGCAGAGAACGTAACTCCAAAACGGACCACATGATGTATTCCGGCCGAATTATGGTATGAGAGGAGGATCGATTTCCCAATAGAAGCTCTAATACCGACTTGGGATAGGCTGGATGAGGACCCGTGCTTGACAATGAAACAGTTAATTCAGGTCAGATCCCAGCAGATTGTCCAAAATAAGGAGGCAATGGATGAAGTGGTGTACCGGGTTCTGGATAGCAGTATGAAGGACAAGGCAAGATGAGATCAGCTGCGGAATATCAGGAAAGAACCGCTGCAAGTTGGGGAAATGGTCCTAGTCAGAAATTATGCACTAGAAAGTACTTGGTCATGACAACTGGGTAGAAGATTCAAGGGCCTCTACCAGGTCACTAAGAGACTGGGAATAAACACTTTTGAGTTGGAAGATCTGGATGAGACCAGGATAAAAGGATGAGTTCCAGGACAACGGTTGGTCAGATTTCTAAGCAGGGATCCAGTGAAATAGTGGTTGCAAGAGACTCAGAACAAGGAAAACGGGAAACAACCCGACTGAGGCACCCGCATAAATCTTACTTATGATGTATTTTGTTTTTGTGTGGAGTTTTTTTTGAACTGTGTCTATGGGAATGGACTGTATGAATTAAGTAAGATGGCTAGGTCATTGTACCATAACTTTTGACGAGCGGGACATGGGGAGAAATACCTGGAACATTGTATCATAGTTTTTGGAGGATGAAGGGCATCAGTATGATTGTCTGGGGCAATTTATCATGACTTCGAGAAAAATACATGGGAATCAAGGGAGGCACAAAGTGATTCATGGGCATGATCAGAAACTGGACAAAAGGGAAGCATCCCAGGAGGTTCGGGCAATTTCGGCGTCATGAGGGAATAGGACCTGGGATGGGGCTCCGCCTTGGGAATGAGGACTGGGGGCTTTTGTTTTTTTTGTGATGACAGGCAAAGGACAAACACAAGACAAGATGAAAGTCAATAACGAAAATGATGCCAACCTCACTAACGTGCCCCTTGAAGACGAGTGGCAGAGGTCCGAGAGACCACGGGACAAACAAAGACCAGTATTGTTTATTGGGCCACAGTCGAGACGGACACTAGGGAGGAGAAAGACAAAAATATTGGCCCGCAAACCTTCGTCCCTTAAGGAAGGCGAAAAATTACAGCCGTTGTCTAAAGAAGAGAGGGAAGAACAAGAAGCGGGACAAAGAAGAGAAGAAGAGAGGCTAAGTATGCAGGACGGCAATGAAAAAAGGGAAGGAGAGAGACAAGATGTGTGTAGCAATGAAGAGACAGGGCATGAGGAAAGGCAAAGTATGCATGGCAGCTGTGAGAAAGAGGGCTTCAAAAAAAGAGCTTGAGTGATGAACAAGGTAAGAAGGACAGTTATGAAAGGGCACCCAAAATTTTTGAAGAAACATATGAGGAAAGAAAAAACGTCCCCCACAGCTTGAACCGTGAGAATCTTACGTATGAATTCAACCCTGTAAGGGAAGGAGAAAGTGAGAATGATGATGACGTACAGGAGGTCATCGCCATCAGTACTGGTGATGAAACAGATAAGATTTCAAGGTCGAGGGTTGAAGGACAGCCGTCAACAAGCAGGCCAAGGGATGGACCCTCCAGATGGGTAGAGGAATTTGGACCCACACCTAGCCATTGGTTCGAGCAATAGATAAGTGTGATCAAGCACGATTGGATCATCATGACCAGGGAGTTAATGAAGGTCGAAGTGGCGGTTACACCCTTACACTTCTACAGTGAGGAAGAACTGCAGGAAATTGCGCAGAGGAAAAGGAAAATCCTGACCGCAGCCTGGGAGCCCAAGCGCCAGCAGAGAGTGATGAGGAAAAAACGCCCAAGTGACAAAGGACTGATGAGCAGAGAAGCCCAAGCGACAAAGGACTGATGAGCACAAAAGAGACTAAACATGAGACATGAGTTGAGAATAGTATTTTAACTACCTTTTGGATGTGCTACCTCATACGGATTTTGGGAAAGAAACAATTGCAAGGGACGCGGGTATGAGACTAGAAGGGGTGAGTGAGGTGAGACAATTGTGAGCTATGGACAAAACAAGATACTTTGATTGGAAACTATGAGAATAAATGAATTGAGTATAAGAAAGCGTTGAGAGTCAGTCAAGTACAAAAGAGGTTAGGGAACCTATGAGTAGAGCGACATCAAGATGTCCTCCCCTAGGAGCCTAATCCAACCAAGACAAGGTCATATAGCAAGAGACAGAGTCATGTTGTAAAAGACAAAAGTCGTGAGAGTGAGCAAGAGTGAAAATGACAGAAGTACCCCCCCTTTTGGATTTATAGTTGAACGGTTGGGCGGACTAGCACTGGCTAAGGCTAAAAACCTCAGCTCGAGTGTTAGACGTTAAGCGGGGTGCATGTATGAGAAGCGTTGGAAACCAGTAAGTTGTGTTAAGAAAATGATGAAAGAAACGGCACGCTAACAACTGAGAAGATGGTCACCTCCTAACCCCCCCTAGTAAAAGATCGGATCTGTGTCCTCAAAAGCCCACCCCTTCGGACGCCTGCATTTGAAGATGGGAAAGAATGGCCCTAACTAGGCTGTTTGACTTGAGATTGGAAAAGAATGGCCCTAACCAGGCTGTTCGACTTAAAATTGGAAAATAATGGCCCTAACCATGCTATTCGACTTGAAATTGGAAAAAAATAGCCCTAACCACGTTGTTCAACTTGAAATTGGAAAAGAATCATCCTAACCAGGTTGTTCGGAAATGGCCCCTGACCAGGGTCATTTCTTTTCAAATAGGCACTAGGGTCCCCCTGCATCTGTGTATCTTTTTAACGGAGAACGGACCGAGTTAAATGCCCAAACACGCGTTTAATGGGTCCGAGGACCCCCGTTGAATCGCGTTAAACGCAAAAACGGGGGTGTCGCAGCGAATTTCGTTTTTCGAATTTCGAAAAACGGAATTCGCTCGTTGGGCCTCGGACACGTGTGCCTACGTGCCCAAACACTCAAACCGGCGGGGGGGAAAAAAGAATTCACCTCCCGTTAACACCCCCCTGCACACCCCCCTGCACACCCCTAAAGGCCCCAAAAATCGCGCTTTGACCCCGAACACACCCCCGTCCCCCCAACCTACACATTCCCAACACCACCGCCAACCCCCACTACCCCTCACACCCAGCCCTAAACAACCGACACTACCCCTACACCCCCAATACCCCTTACCGCAACCCCCACTACCC